CTGGCTGATATGTGATATTGCTATGGCTTAATTGTGGCCCAGATCTGGCAAACAGAGGCAGACCTCCCAAGTGCCATCATTCCATGCAAGGTGTCTGGTGTGCGCCGGATTTGAGCTAGCTGGTTATCGCTGTCCATCGTTTTACGTTCAACAAAAACAAGAAACTCAGAAAGGTTTGGAACAAGTAAAGAGGTGACAGACTTTTTTTTAGTGAACTATCCCTTTAAAATAACATCACAAATACAAAACAGATAGGTAATCTTCTGTAATTTTCTGTTAAAGATAAAGGCTACTACATCTGGAAGTCAATGGGATCAAATTACTTTGTGAACTATCCCTTTAAGTGAAATATTTCTTGAATCCACCTTAGTACTATATGTTTAGCACTCCAAGGCACTTGAATTAATGCATCAGTATTACCATTGCTGTCCAAAATCCATGATACACATCCATAAACATGTAAGGATTACTATGGTCAAGGTTTGTCCACAAGTCTTCATACATTATAGCCTAGTGGGAGCAAGTGTAAAGTGTTGAAGTAACCCACCAAGTTTAAGTTCATCCACTACCACCAGGTGAGAAGTTTCCTTCTTGCTTTTTTTTCCCCACATTATAACACACACTTCAGAGGTGCGTGACAAATCCAGAAAGGGATGGTCTCTCGAGAGGCTTTCGCTCACAGCTTCAATTAGATTGTATTGAACTTTATTAAATCATCTCCAGGCTGTCACTTCATTGCGGCTGCTACGTGAGAATCATTATTTATTTCGCTGTCAGGAGATCCCCACAGCGCCGACGCTCGTCTGACAGAGACGTTTCCCGGTGGTAGAGGAAACGGAGCGGCCGACGACTGAGGGCCGGTGGGGGGTGAATTATCCTCTGAAGATTCGGAGACTGCTGCTGCCGTCCGACCACGGGAGTCTACTTTAAACAAATCCTCTCTCATTTCCTCTCTATTCAAATGCAAAGCGAAAAACCAAATGTTTTTTTTTTTTAATTTCTCTTTCAATTTTGAACAGCGAATATTAAAGCAAGTCATGCAAAGGCTAATAAATTGAAATCATTACTTTTCATGCACTTTTACAAGGTATGAATATTATATTGATTCATAGGCAATTTGACAAGTAGTAGTGTATTTCGTAATATTTGATATTTTCTTTTTTATGTCATATATGTCATTATTTTGAGGTCAAATACAGATTTTTCTAAATACAATGTATTCATACCGGACAAGTATATGCACCTTCCCAGCTAGCAAAATTCATGTGGCTCAAATCTGGCCCACATACTGCATAGAATGATGGCACTTGGGTGGTCCGCTCTTCTTTGCTAGATCTGGGCCACAATTAAGCCATAGCAATACCACATATCAGCCTGAATTCAACCAAATGATCCGAACTGACCCTATTCTGGGCCACAGTTTGCTTTTATTCTGGCCCAGATCCTCTTATTAGGAGGTTCAGAGCTATGATCCCAACTAAGGCAAACACTTTTCTCCATGATGGTGACTTTAGTCTATGTGGTCCACATATGTTTTAAGATAACTGGGCCACATTTGCCATATCTCCTCTGGGCCGCTTTGGGCTCACAACCACATTAACCAGAGCTAACTATGCCAAATATTTGCCAAAAGTGGCCCACATTTGTTTTAGGATAACTGGACCACATTTTCCATATCATATCTGGGCCACTGTAGGTCATGATTGCATTAGCCAGAGTTCACTGTGCTAAATATTTGCCAAAAGTGGCAGACATATATTTTAAGATAACTGGGCCACATTTGCACTTACCAGTGTGAGTTACTTTAGGTTTAGACCGGAATTAAATGACCATGCCACATTTTCGCCAACTGTGGCCCACATTTGTCCTCCATCATTTGGGCCAAATTGATAATTTTCCACATGGGCCATATTAGGCTCACATTCAGCTTACATTTCGCCAAAAGTGCCAAATCTTTGCCTTAAATGGCCCATATATGAATTTGAATCTTTGCCCATGTACAGATGGGCCACTTCAGGCTCACATTAATTTTGTCTGGGCCAAAGGAAGACCACCAGTGCCACAAAACTGCCTAAAGTGGCCCACATTCATATGCCATCTGGGTTCATTCTGTACATGGCTGTAGGGACAAGTGGTTTTGAGGTTTTTGGAATTACACCTAAATAATTATTGCCACGTTGATCACCGAAAAGGTGTATTTAATTAAATAATATATTGTTAAGTTTTAAAATATAGTTAAAGACTTTTTTTTTGTTTTAGTTTTTCCATGAAGTAATATTTCTATGGACAAAAAGCTGACATTTCCGTAGAATGACTCTCAAAACAAAACATTACAAAACTAATTTAGGATGTGATTAAGAAAACAAATAGGCCTACCAGGATCGCTTCTTTTCAGTAACGTTACAGCATTAGCACTATAGCCTGCTATCAGGAAGGAGCAGTAAACATGTCCTGTATTCTGTGTGCTCGCTGGAGGAGATTGCTGGCATATTGATTGATATCCTGTTGACAAGACGAATGAAATGGGAAGGAAATATGAGTAAAAGGTTTTGCTTGGTTGCACAAATTTGGTGAAAGGTCCAAAACTGCCCAGAAAATACAGACTTCTCAACGGCGAGATTGAGGTAAAATCCACATACAAGCCTGCCCTCTAGAGGACAACACTGATAAGAAACATTGACAGCACTGCAGATTATTTCCATTTTGTCTGGGATATTCTACAAAAACGTGGCCTTGATTTTTAAAACAAAAGCACTAGTTGTGTTATTATGTATCTCAAGATTGATGGCTACTAATTTAACATTACTATTATTCTAAACAGTGTAAAATAACTATAGATAGCACCGTACAATAGGCCACATTGATGAATTACTCAGTATTTTTAAAAAGTCTAATGCCTCTGTATGAGATGTAAAGACTTTATTAATGCTGCAAATACTTCCTCTACAAATTAATGTTCTTTTGAAATCCAACAAATACCTTGAAATGTATTTTATCTGCTGTGTATTACTTCAAAGAAACAGACCAACCAGCATGGACAGATGTAGAAAGAAGCGGCTTAAACCTCCATCTACAGATGTATCTTTATTCCTCATCTGCCAAATTGCAAAAAAAAAAAAAAATACTTGTAACCCCTTTCTCTGAAACACTATTTCAGTTTGGTATGAAGCTTGTGTATTCTTAGATGAAACAATTACTGTCAAACTTCACACCAATATGGGGTAATACAAATTTTGTACCCGGGAGGAGTGACATTGGATTCCAAAAATGGATGCTTAAAGGTATACGCCAAATAAAAGATTTATAGAAGATATAATGCTTTCGATCCAACAATTGCTAAAAAAGTTTGATATCCCCCAAAAACATTTTTTAAGTAAAGTTTCATAAACTAATTTCGAGAGGAGCATGTGATATGATTGAGCACGACTGCTCATCTGTAATCAGTAATAATCCAATCAGAGTGATCCTAGTTTACAATAAATGGATCATTTTCTCCCCACTGCTCCGTTCTCGTTTTGGAAATATCCCCCCTTCCACCCAATCTCCTCTTTTTCCTTCCTTTTCCAAGGGGGAGCTCTCGAAATTGATCTTGGATCCCCATATGTGCTTATTGACTGGGCGGGAGCCTTGGGCTCAGGTATCTACGAGCTCAGGGTTCTCTCCCACGACAGGATGCCAAACCTGCCATAAACGCAAAGCATATCTATGTGGGAACTCTTGAATATTTACAGGCAAGAAGTTGAATACATTCAGAAATTAAAACGCATTCAAAAATATTGTTTTCATAGAAGATCACACTCTAAAACATTTAAGGGATCTTAAATTTAAGGGAACTCGAAACTTCCGGGAGACTTGGGATGTCTGGAATGACCTCCCGCCCTAATCATAATTCTCTCTTCATATAGCCGTATGCCTATTACATATCCATAAAACACTGCGATAAAATCGGGCTAGGATCGTATCGCTTTCTCACTACAATCAATCCACTCAGAGTTTGTTTCAATCAAGTCGAGACCACCTCATTCAGGCGATCTCGGAGCAATTGTTTTGGTGCAGATCCGAGCACGATTGCAGTATTCACATATGCCAAAGGAACTGCGCTAACTGGGCAAACGAGACAGCTTCCGAAACAAAAGTCTAGGTGTGAAAGCACCCTGAGAGTTAGGGGTAATCTATCAATGTTTTACAATAGACTCTTAGAGGGATCAAAAGATAACTCCTCATCCTACTTATCAGCATGGGAAGTGATCATCAAGAAGACATTTCTAAAGAAGAATGGATAGACTCGTGTTTATGTGCCCAAAATAATAGTAATAACACAAGTTGTAAACTACTGCGATGAAGGATTATGTGACAATGAAAACTGAAGTAAATAGTGCTAAACTGCAGCTTTGGATAGCTGGAATAGTGTACATTTTTGGTCTCACTTTATGTTAAGTGTCCTTAACTACTATGTACTTACATCAAAAAAATAAATACAATGTACTCACTGTGTTTATAATGTATTTGAGAGCACTTGTGGTGCTTTTAAGTTGGGATAGAAGTTGGGTTATGTACAGGTTTGGTGGTATGGGTAGGTTTAAGGGTGGGTTAAGGTGTAAGAGATGGTCAACAGTGTATTTACAAATGTAATTACAAAAGTTAATTACAGATGTAATTACATACATGTATTTAATCAAGCATAAGTACACAATAATAACATGTATTTACACAATAAGTACATTGTAACAAACTATTAATTCCTGTGTAAGTACATATTAGTTAAGGCTACTTAATATAAAGTGGGGCCACATTTTTAAATTAATTATAACATAAACATTTCATTTTACTCTAATATTTTTTTTTTATCAACATAAGGTTTCTTTAAATAAAATAAAAAACTTTTAAACAGCAGCATATACTTGAAAACGTTAGTAGAAATGTCCACAAACTAAAACAAACAGCTGGATAAAACCAAAAATTTGAATAATATGAATAATATTAATATCAAACACACAGAATTGAATTGAATTATTTAATGTAAATTCTTTCGCTTTAGTGGCATTACTTCAGAACTGATCAGACACAAAATGTTTCAAAATCACAATATTAACATTATTAAACACGCAATCCATAAACATAATCCAAACAATTTCCTCTCAAAACTTTTTCAATCCACAAGATGAGTTCCATCTAATTATGTAAAAAGCTGCTTGCCGATGTAAACACAAATATGGTTTCAGCTTCTATCTTTTACGTAATTTGACGAAGTGTGCACGAATCGTGTGGATGAACGCTATATGGCTTTATTTATGGCTTAAGGTTTTATATTCGCATCATCCATGAAATGACAACAAATAAATAACACCTGACGACCAAACTATAGGATAAAAAATATCCCTGCATTCCCATTCAAGCAATAAAAGAAATTATTTTTAGAAAGAGTGTTAACACACACAGTAAATGCATCTAAACTTTGTTGCTGTATCCGTTTTGGTTTCGCATTGATGACCTAAAACTGAACCGTATACACTTCTTAACTCATTAATTATGAATAATAAATGTATTAATCTGAAATAAACATTGTGTGGTTGTTCATATCAGCATAAAAACAGAGATTCAGCAGTTTGCTACATGCCTCTGCATAGGCTGATCAGTTTAATAATAAAAAGAAAATGTTCAATATCCAAAATACGCAGTGATACGCTTTGTTAATTTGCACAAGCAGAAAAGCTAGTTTATGTAAAAAGCATGTAAACACTTTTACGGCATTTAGGGAATCTCCATATTTGGCAGCCTTTTTGATAAAGGAACAGTTTACCCAAATGTATACTGTATGTATGCATCTATTTATGTATGTATACATGAGTCTGCTGGACATGTAGAAGACTTAGTTTCAACATAAATCATAATAATAAGGTTACATCATCAGTTAGCATCTTGTAAAGCAAAAAGCTGAATGTGTGTAAGAAACACATGATCCACAGAGATGTTTACTTTAAGTTAATGTAAAAGTATTTAATAAGTAAATGTAACTTATAGACTTAGAACTTAATATACAAGTTATAGAATATCACATTTTTAAGAAGATCTTAAGGGAAAGGGTTATAATTTCATAAAGCATCGATTAATGTGTGTTAATGGTTAAAATAATTATTATGACAATTATTTAGCTTAAAACTATCATTTCTGACTAAAATATTGAGTCCGTACAGAAATTCTAAATAATGCTTCCTGTAATTAAAGCATTCATCTTCGATTTTCTGCTCATTATACAGTATGCATATTGTTTCGTATGTTTTTTGGACCGTTTTCACTCCTGATTCAGACTAGCTTCAATTGATGAAGCAATATTATGGATGAAAGAATTTTTAACCAAGGAAAATATAAATAGTTTAACCAAAAATACAAAGAGTGCTGTAATCCTGGTGCTAAAAATATATGAAGTCTTTTATCCTTTTTATAAATGCATTGCAAAATGTATACGTTTTTTTCATTTAGTAACATTAGCTCTGTGGTTAAATGCAATGGCAAATCTTTAACAATTTGCTGTAAAAAGTAAACAGAATGACATCAAACATTGTCATGTATTTAAAACCAACATGACTACTTCAAATGTTTTGATTTTATTATTGAATATTATGACACAGAAATTAAAAGCTCCCATTATAAAATCCCATTGAATAATCCAGAAGGTATCATAATGATGAATGTGTTTCTTACAAACACAGCCTTGTGCTTCACTAGATTTTAAAGGAATAGTAACACCCGAAATGAAAATTACCACATTATTTACTCACGCTCAAGCCATCATCAGTGTATACAACTTCTGTCAGACAAACACTAGTTAGTGTATTTTTTTATTTTATCCTGGCTCTTCTATGCTGTACAATATTAATGGATGGTGACTTTTATTTTGAAGCTTCCAAAAGTGCATTAATCCCTCATAAAATTAACGCATACACTAGGAGAGAGATACTCATGTCAAAATTATAAATGTAATTTATAACACCATTATACAGCACTAACGAGCCAGGAATATTTATAAAACTACTCCAACTGTGATGGTCTGACAAAACAAAAGTCATATAACAGAGAATAGTTTGAGGGCGAGAAAATGATGGGGTAATTTTGACATGTTAACCCTCTTGTACAGATTTATTTGCTCTTTGAAAGCTTCAAAATAAAAGTCCAACACCATTATACAGCATTGAAGAGCTAGGGTTAGATTTAAAACTACTCCGACTGTGATCCCCTGACAAAAGAAAGTCATATGCACAGAGAATAGCTTGAGGGAGAGTAAATTATGGGGTAATTTTGACATGCGTTAGCCCTCTCAGTGTATGGCTTTAATTTTATAAGGGATTTATGCACTTTTGGAAGCTTCAAAATAAAAGTCACTATCCAACACCATTATACAGCATTAAAGAGCCAGGAATATTTTTAAGATAAGTATTCCTCTGACAAAACAAAAATCATATGACTGAGAATAGTTTGAGGGCGTGTAAATTATGGGGTAATTTTAACCCTGTTAACCCTCTTGTACAGATTTATTCACTCTTTGAAAGCTTCAAAATAAAAGTCACCATCCAACACTATTATACAGCATCTATTAGCCAGGATTAGACTGAAAAACTACTTCAGCTGTAATCGTCTGAAAAAAATATAGTCATATACGCATTATAAATAATGGGTTTATTTTCTTTTGGGGTGAACCATTCCTTTAACTGATCTCCTGGAGTGGTGTAGATTATTGTGATGTTTTTATTTAGCCTCCTTTTTAATATCTGGGTGAACTATTTCTTTAACAACAACTTTCTTTACTTTTTTCTTTAGCACTGAGCACATTTTGGAGTGACCTATTTTTGTAACAGGATCCAAAAAAAAAAAAAACTTGATCCGTAGCAAACGCAACTCGATCTTGCGTATAAGAAAATATCAAATCTGTCACCGAGAAAAGATAACAGAGCCAAATCCGGTGAGGACAAACAGTAACAGTGCTTTCCATTAAAGCGAAGGCTCTTTAGTGCTGACACACATGAAACGCTCGTGGATGAATGTTCAAACAGGGAAAAGAAAAAAAAGCGGCGCTGTCTTCATATGTTTGGCGACATCAGAGCAGTTAAAAAGTCGTCTGATAAAGATCGAAGGCCGATCGCAGACGCACAAAACTCCTGTCAGGATTGTAGAAGGAGGATCAGAGATAAAAAAGAAAGCTTGTATAAGCGCAGCAGGGGCGTCCCAGATGGCAGACCCCGTGACATCCCTTTAAAGCTCCATGACAGGTCACCTTTGTAGTCAGCGAAGCCGCTGCCACCTTGCAAAATTTGGCATTATGTTAATGAAGGCAGTCGAGTTTGGTTTGGGCCTCCAGAGACTTCACACGTGCTACAGCCGAGCAAGCATAGGCTTCTGGGTAGAAATTTTACCTCCTGTGTGTCAGAGGAAAAGAAGAGCAAACAAGTTAAAAAAAAAAAACAGAGACGCAGGAGGTCATGATGGTACGGCGCAGCGACACGACAACAACTGGGTCACAGAGGCAGACAAACACGGAGGATATTTAAAACTTGACTTGTTCAGCGAGAGCTTAATATATTTTAAAAGCAAGCAACATCTGCTTAGTAGCAGGGACACAATGAGCTCTCGGATTTACCGTGGTTAAATTTGTCATAATATTTTATGCATGTATATGCACTGAAAAGGTTTATGTTTTTAGATTCAATAGAAATAAAGTCAGAGTGTGTGGGTGTGTGTGTGTCTCTATATATATATATATATATATATATATATATATATATATATATATATATATATATATATATATATACACACACACACATATATACATACATATATATATACATACATACATACATACATACATACATATATATATATATATATATATACACATATATACATACATATATACATACATACATACATACATACATACATACATACATACATACATACATACAT